ATGAGTTAAGTGAATACACCTTTTTCCTTCTATTAACTAGCAACACTGACTCTGCAGGAGGGTTGGACTTCCTCAGAAAGCTGACAAGTTTTGCTTCTGGACATGCTAAGAGGAGCCTCAAAGGGTCACAGTGCCCGAGAGGAATCATGAACAGCTCAGGAAAGGAAGGGGAATCCAGAAACTGAGTATGAGATTTCATAATGTGAATAGGAAGAGTCCCAAGGTAGCACATATAGAGATTGGGATTGTCTTTGCAGAATACTACCATGATACAACCAGAGAGATGCTGTAACAATACATACTAGCTAACGCTTATTTTGCATCTGCCGTGTGATGGGCACTGTTTTAAATGCTTACCTATGATGATTTATTTAATCTACACAATAACCCTAGGGTGAGATACCATCATGACTACATTTTGTAGATGGAGAAACTGAGGCACAGAGACATAAAGATCTCCCAAAGCAGGGCTCAGTGACTCAGCCTGTGCTTTTAGTATGCTGTTCTGCTTCACAGATGTGGCAGACAATTTCTTCATCAGGGTTTCAGGGGGGCAGAGTGCCAGAGTTGATTATTATGAGAAAGGTAGTTGTGGGGCACGTGGGTGGCTCAGTCAGTTAAGCATCCAACTTCAGCGCAGCTCATGATCTCACAGTTCATGAGTTCAAGCCCACGCTGGGCTCTGTGCTGACAGCTCAAAGCCTGAAGCCTGCTTCGGATTCTGTGTGTCTCTCTCTCTCTGTCCCTCCCCCACTCACGCTCTATCTTTCTCTCTCTCAAAAATAAATAAACATTAAAAGCAAGCAAGCAAGCAAGCAAGCAAGACAGGAAGAAAGGTAGTTATAAATTTGAGGTACAGGGAAACTCATCAAATAAGGTATTTAGAAAGCATTTTATGTTGAATGTTATGTATCCCCTGTCTCTGACACCCCTATACTTCAGTTTTAAGAAATTATGACTAAAAAATCTGTATTATTTTTCAATATTTCTGGGATTGAATTTCTCTTTGAATGTAGCACTGTGTAAAAAAATGGGTCCATGATTCAGGTTGCAATGGTTGGTCTAGTTTAGAAAAAATTCTGTCACTAGTTATGCAGTTGCCATTTTTCCTTCTTTTGTGTAAGTTTTTTACTCAAAGTCATTAAAGCTCTTTAACAGTTGGAACTTCAGAATAATAAAGACTGCAGCGTGAGGTGGCACTACTGTGGCATAATGGTTCCAAGCACAGTGCGGTGTCTTATCCTGTTTTGTGTCCCAGGTCCTCTTCTGAATAGTTGTGTGACCTCAGGAAAATCACAAGAACTATCTGAGCCTTAGGATCTCTTCTGTAAAAAGCAGGAAATAATCTTTACTTAAAAGTGTTTTTGAGAGTATTGAATGAGGTTGTGATTGTAAAATGGTAAAATGCCTGGCAAATAGTGAGAATATAGTGTAATATATTACTCTTGTTATTCTTAGCACTTCTCTTTTTTGATTGCTGATATCATCTTTAGTCTGAACTTGAGAAACACATCAACTTAGGCTGGATACCAGGTGATCTGACCGTAGTCACCTACTGCTGTACCTGGTCATTAACAGTTATCAACAGTACCAGACTTTGATAATCCTCCATTTTTTGAAATAAGTTTTGCACCTGGCTTCTGATATTCCTCCTACCATAGTGGTCACTTATCTCACACCTAATTCCTGTTCATCTTCCCATCTTCTTAATATCAAAGTATGCCAAGGCTTTGTTCTTGGAACTCTCCTTTATCTGCACTCCCTTTGTTTCTTGTTTTTTAATATGAGTATCTTTAAAAAAATGGATTAATTAATTAAATCCCAGTATAATGAAAGTACAGTGTTGTATTAGTTTCAGGTGCACAATATAGTGGTTCAGCAATTCTGTACATTACTCAATGCTCATCATAAGTGTACTCTTAATCCCCTTCACCTATTTCCTACCCACTCTCCCTCTGGTAACCATCAGTTTGTCCTCTATAATTAGGAGTTGTTGTTGTTTTTTGTCTCCTTTTTTTCTTTGTACTTTGTTTTGTTTCTTAAATTCCACATATGAGTGAAATAATATGGTATTTGTCCTTCTTTCTCTAACTTATTTCACTTAGCATTATACCCTCTAGGTCCATCCATGTTGTTGCAAATATCAAGATATTACTTTTTTATGGTTGAGTAATATTTCATTGTATATACATACCACATCTTCTTATCCAGTTATCTGTTTATGGACACTTGAGTTGCTTCCATAACTTGGCTATTGCAAATAATGCTGCAATATATATAGGTGTGCATACTCAAATTAGTGTTTTGTTTTCTTTGGGGAAATACTCCATAGTGGAATTACTGGATCATATGGCAATTCTATTTTTAATTTTGTGAGGAACCTCCATACTGTTTTCCACAGTGGTTGAACCAACTTTCCTACCAATAATGCATGAGGATTTCTTTTTCTCCACATCCTGCCAACAGTTATTCTTTCTTGTGTTTTTGATTTTAGCCAATCTGACAGGTGCAAGGTGATATTTTGTGGTTTCGGTTTGCATTTCTCTGATGATGAGTAAAGTTGAGAATCTTTTCATGTCTGTTGGCCATCTGTATGTCTTCTTTGGGGAAAAATGTCTGTTCATGTCTTGTATCCAATTTTTACTGGATTATTTGTTTTTTTGGTGTTGAGTTGTGTAAGTAATTTGAGTATCTTTTTAATGTCACATTCACATTGACTGCTCCCAACTTTATATCTCCCAAGTAAAACTCAATTTAGACTCACATATTCAATTGCTTATTAACATCTCTACTCAGATGTGTAATACACACAACACACTAATCATGCAAAACACTTGACTTCCCTCGAAAACTCATTCTATCCACACTCTTCCCTATCTCTAGTTTCTAAAAAAAAAAAAAAACAAAAACAAATAAGAAAAAAAAACACACCAGAAAACCTGAAATTATTCTTGGTTCCCCTTTTTCCTCATGTACTACATTCATGCCATTCCATCAGAAAACCCTACTGACTTCATCTTCAAAATATTTCCAGAACCCAACTACTTCTCGCTCGGTACCTCTTGTGATGCCATCCAGGTCCAAGCTACCATCATCTCTTGTCTTCATTTTTGCAAATGCCTCCTAACTGGCTTTATTGCTCCTACCCCTGCCTCCCTCAGTCTGTCCTCAACACAGTATTCCAAGTAATCCACTTAAAACTTAACTAAGATGCCGTTATGCCTCTGTTCCCATCCAGTGTCACTCAAACGGAAGCCAAATAATAATTATAGTTGAGGCCACTTTCCTCTCTAACTTCTTGGACTTCATTGCACACTCATTCTCTAGCCGTACTGGTGCCCTTGATTTTCCTTGAGTATGTTAGGCTCACTCCTTTCTCAGGGCATTTGCACTGGCTTTTCTCTCTGCCCGAATACTTTGCTTACAAATATTGGTAAAACACCCTCTCACCTCACTTCGACCACTCTATTTACAATGGTAATCCCTCCTTATCTCTATCTCCTTCACAAAGGTAAACTTGACTAAGACATTTGACTGTACTCTTTTTTGCAAACCAATTAGCACCTATTAATAGGCTCTGTATTTTATTATTGATTTTGTCTATTGTCTGATTCCTCAATTTGAATATTTCAGCTCCACCAGACCACCAGTCCACTGCTGTATTCTGAGTGCTAAGAACAACAGTTTTGGTAAATGGTAACAACAGCCCTGAGTGACACGTTAGACATTCAATCGGCACTGGTTGAATAAAGGAACAATTTGTTTATTCCTTATGAATTAGACAGTGTTTTGGCACCTTATTGCACCAATTACTGGAGTCAACAGGTATGGCTGCATACTATATAAATTTCAGTTCCTTTACAAGGCCGATTTCAAATATTGGCATGCAAATGCATAGATCTTGGTCTCTGTCATCTTAAATGTTTACAGTAACATTTCCTTCTGGGGTGTGTAGTTATGAAAATATCATCTTGGTTCTCATTCCCTGTTCTCCACCAAAAAGAATGGAGAATTGCTCAGCTGAGAGAAAAAAAAATAGTATGTATTTTTTTTCATCTTTTCTTTAGTGTTTAGAATTCTATTCTTTTCATTCTCACTTGTGACACCACTGGTATTGCAAACAATAGAACCCAACACTAAAATTTCCCTGCCATTTGGAATTCAGGCAATAGCTGCCTTGATCCCTGCTCTTCTCTTGCCAACAATTGGAGGAGCTATTACATTACATGCATGGACTGTCCAATGAACAGCAGGCCAGGTGTCACTTTGAGCGACAGCCTTCCAGTTTGCAAACACTGTAATCCTGTTCATTCAATTGAGTGATTGTGTGGCTGTATGTCACTTTGCCTTCAAAATATCTCCTCTTAACTTGCACTGTTTTGACTGCATTCTGGAGTTGATGCTGTAAGGAGAGGGTGGTATATGCAGAGAGCACTGACAGTTTGAAGCATGTGCAAGCTGGAACATATCTCCTGCTGCAATGTTTATATCTTTGGCTAATAGTGATATAATTCCTCTTTCCTTTTTAAGTGACAGGTAGTTGGGATTTGTGCTTTTGTTCTTCTATAAAAGGAAAAGCAGGTTCGTGTGGTCTGTAAGAGTAGGATTCATCTAGTTTTAAGATTTGGATCTAATGCCTCAACAACATTCTTAGATTAACTTAGTTGAATGGAAATAATAAAACTATGGCTGTGCTAAACTGATTCTGTCATCTTACTCAAAATGGAGATCATTGTGTGGTTGATTTAGCTGCAGTTGTTCTCATTTGATGTTACTGTCAAGATAGCCACAATGATGAGCTTGGAAACGAAGTGGTCTGTTTAATTGGCCACAGGTGATAGTCAACGGACTGGTGTTTTTCTTAGCAGCATTTAGCAGGGCTGTTTTTTCTCAAGTGTTCTGTGATGTTAAGTAAAAACATCTATATTGCCACTGACCCAGGCAGCAGTATAGTTGCTTTAGTTAGATGAACAATTTCCTAAAAATTGGGAAGACTTAACCATTCTTCAGAGTCAGACCTCGAGTGGGAAGAAAAGCACCTCTCTTTGTGGCAATCTGTTCTTTATCCAAACAACAGCAGCATCATATTATGAAGGTCTGGACCTTTAGGATGGGGACTGAGACTTCATACTTTCAGAGAAGACTTTTCTCTGGTCTGAGTTCTGTTTTAGAGAGATGAATATGTCAGAGACTGCTATGCATTGCCAAAATTCATTTTCTGCTCTTTCTGGGGAAACAGCTAGACTTATTTCCCAGTCTTTCTTTGGTTATGTGAAGGTATATGATAAGAGTTTTGGCCAGTGAAAATCTGAGTAGAAGTGATCTGTGTCACTTCTTTGTCAAAGTGGTAAAGATGCAGATGTGTCTTCCCTATCTGCTGGCTGAATGGAGGCACTCCACGGACCTAGATATGGGTGGGACCATGAGAGAGAAAGATCTTGAATTCCTGAATGGAGACTGCTTGAGTAGAAACACCTGTGTTGCAGTGTAACATGCGAGTGTACAGGAGTTTTCAGTCATTGAGATTTTAGGATTTACTTGCAAACAACAGCTAGCATTACTGTCCTAATTAGCCTGTCAGACAAAGGCTGAATGAAGAGGGAAGATTCTGGAGTAAATAGGACCAGTTGGACTGCTCTTGTAATTCTGTCTAATTCTACAGTTGATGCAAGCAAGAAAAAAAAAAAGAATTTTGAATAAATATTTATTATGCTACAACATAAATGACAAATTAAAAGGGACAAAGATAACCTCAATATTTTAAGCTGAGAAATTGGAACAGTAGTTACCTCAAAGAGTGACACTGGAAGAAGAGCTGAAGTGGGGATAATGATTATGAAGTGGATGCAGTGAATGTTGTTTGGCGTATGAACAATATGAAGAGTTGGAAATACAAAATGGGAGACTAGGTGAGAGGTTAGAGTGCAGCTTTAGATTTATGAGTCATTAACGTCTGCAAAGAAACTGAGAGGAATGGTAGATAAGAAGTATAATGGTAGCATAGATGAGGATCCTACTGTTAAAAGAGAAATAGGAATAGGTAAAGAAGGCAGAAAAATAACCACTAAAGACATATAAATGAAAGACAAATGAAAGAGCAATATAACATAAAAGCAGAGAAGAGAGTTTGCTAAGTAACTTTGCTTTGACTTTTTAAGGCTCCTTCCTGTAGACATACCTTTGCATGACTGTGAAGGATTTATATACCTATATATTGCTACTTTGTAATTTTTAAGGGATGGTCACTGGACTGGCCTACTGTAAGCCTACGGCAAAAGAAGCATGGAAAGGCATAGGGCACATTTTGGGTTAGGTATATATTTCAACATCTATCACATATTTGTTGAGCATCTTTGATATGCTAAGCATTGAATAAAATGGGTAAAATGGGAGATGGTCATACTACTAGCCATAACACAGAGTCATAGGTGCCCTGATGTGTTTTGGGGATGCAAGGCTGGGGTTGATGAATTTGTTTCCCCTGAGACGATATGCCAGAAGGTGATATCAAAGCAAAGTAAATTTCAAACAGAGAGTGCACAATGAGCAAAGGCAAATAAGCACATAGATGGGAAAGAACTGAGGAATCGTGAGAGGTCATGTTTGGCTACTGGGTGATGAGGCTGGAAAAGGGAGGGCCTTTTGGACTTGTTCTGTAGCACTGTAGCTCTACTGAGGATTTTAAAAAGAGGAGAGACAAAGATCTCTGCTCTGGAAACATGGTTCTGGTAGACTTGAGGAGGCAGAATTAGATAGATATGGGAGAAACAGGAAACATGGAGAACCATTAAAAGACTATTGCAATTGTCAGGTGAGAAATAATGAGAGCTCAGTAAGTAGAGTGGTAGGCATAGGAAGGAAGAAGGGAACATATATGAACATGTTTTAGAATTGGAAATGGTAGAGTTCTCTGACAGACTAGATGTAGAAATGAGTGGAAAGCTTAAGAAAATTCAACACTGCTGCCTAAATTTGAGAAGCCATTAAAGGTGTAGGGCGTGAGAAATTGGTATTATATATTTAGATTATTATCCACTATATCTAATCTGGGGGAAAAATTGCCTTCAGCTTCAAGGAATATCCAGAATCCAACTGCTTCTCATCATTTCCTCCTCTATTACTCTAGAGCAAGCTACTCTTCTCTTTTGCCTGGATTATTACAATGCCTTCTAGTGTCCCTGAATCTACCCTTGGCTTTTGATAGTCTATTCTCGATGCAATAGGCAAAATTATCCTGCTAAAATATAAGGGCAAGCATCTCCTCTTCTCAATATCATTCACTAGCTTTCTACCTTCCTCAGAGTAAAACCAAAATTCTCATATAATCTACAAAGAATTGTCCAATCTGCCATCCTTTATGTTCCCCTCTCATTCACACATCCACAACCACACACCCATTCCTGCCATCTGGCTCCCTTAGCTACAGCTTCATTGGCTTCCTTGTGATTCCTATAATAGAACAGGTATATTTCTGCCTCAGGTCCTTTGCACTTGCTTTAGTCCCTGTTGGGAATGCTCTCTCTTGGAAACTTGTATGGTTCTGCGGTTTCACTTTTTTTCAGGTCTTTACTCAAATGTCATGTTTGCAGAGAGGCCTTCCCTTGTTATTCTACTTCAAATGTAAGCATGCCTTTCTTCCCCTTCTGTACTTAATTTTGATTCTTAGCACTTTTCATTGTTTCACATTCTTGATTTTTACTTAATTACACCTTGTTTAATAGGCTTCATGAAGGTGGGATTAAAAACAATTTTTTTCACTCTAGCAGGCAACAATGTTATTCATTAGAATTTTTCCAAAACACTTTCAATAATATTCAAGATACATTACATAAATAATAAAGTAACAACAAAATTATTATTGCTTTTAAATGTTGAAACTGGGATTGTAGAAAGAGTTTTGAGGACATGTATTATAAAAAGCATGGTCGGGAAATGTGTTTCTTAAATGAGGTAAGGAGTTGAGGCAGAGATCAGCCATGCCATCTCTGTGAATTCCAGATCTGCATTGGGAGGCTGGATGTACATGGTTGGTGAGAGGGCTGTAAGTCATTGAAGGACTCAAAGATCTCCTTATATTTATATGTCTTTGAGACAGTAAGAAGGAATTAATTCTTGCCTGTTCTCCACTCTAAGCCATGACACTGAAAATCATATGGCAACATACATCATCACTCTCCTAACATCTCCAAACAATTCACCAATGATGTAACTATAAACTGTCAGCTTTGGAGAAATGTGTTTTAGACAACAATGGAAGTGTATGTGGAGAACATTATAACAACCGAACTAAAGAATTCTAACAGTGAAGAAGGTGAAGATAATAAACACTTGGCCGTGCAGATATCACGATCACAAAAGTGGTTCTCTCAGGGTGAGGCTCATCAATTGCACTTCAGGCTGTGCTGACCTCTGCAATTTCCCCAAATGTGGGAAACTTGACTGCATAATCTGTTAGTAGGAGACTGTGTTTGTGCTCCTTAAGAAAACAAAAACAAAAACAAAAACAAACAAAAAAACAGGTGAAGATAATAAAGTCAGTCTTATGAACTGCATGATTGATTCATCCATTTGTCAACACTGATTGAATCTGTCCTTTGTGCTAGGCACTGTTTGGCAGATAGGGATGCAAGATTAACAAAAAATAATGCTCATTGAAGATAAAGCTCACACTGTAATTAGCATCACAGGCAGGAAAACGAATAATTATTTCACTGTATAAAACACTATGACAGAGTTATACAAAAGATGCTATGGGAGGCAATGAGAAGAAAATGTCCGATCACAAAGTCTTTTGTTTGCAGAGATCCAGGATGCAACTTTGAGGAGAAAAGCAGTATACAAGGTTTTGTGCATATATTTATAGTAATAATAAATGTAAAAATAAATATAAGGAAGCATAAGGTTAAACTATTTTTTATTAGTCAAATTGATAGTTGAATTTAAAGATGATGCAGCATTTTTATAGATGATTGTGTGTTCAGCAGTTGAAAATCTGAATCTAAAGCTCAAGATAGATGTTGGGCTAGAAAGCAGTATTTTGATGTAGATTTATAGGTGATAAAGTTATGGAAATGAATATGATTACTCAGAGAACATAGAGGAAGATGATCCAATATCTATCTATCTATCTATCTATCTATCTATCTATCTATCTATCTATCTATCTA